ACTAAAAGGCATAAGATAGACAAAAACAAGATCTTGAAGAATTACCCAATAATGTGCCTTGGTTATGGTAGGTAATTCGAAGAAAAAATAAAGTGTTACTGTTTCTTATTTGCAGAATGTTTAAGAGGAAAGACCACAACATAATGAACTAATTCATCACAATACCTAAAAACTCTGACTTCACTTTCTTTGAAAAATGAAATGGTCTTTCTTTTTACACCCGATGAACAATCAAATATCTTCTCTTGAATTATGAATAACACAAATGGATTGAAATATTCAATTAAATTATCTCAAAATAAACTTTCATTTCGGTGCAATATTGAAATTAGCTTGAATTCTTCATAACCTGTGAATAGTGGGTGACCCAACGGGTCACTGGTGGTCTAGTCTAGTTTAAATGTAAGTCTCTGAAGCAGTCCTCAGCTCTTTTTTGGATTACATTTCTAACTTCAAATAGGATTTATCACAGAAAGTAACCATTACAATATTTTACTGCTACCTATCCTACTTAGTTTAAGGAACAATAGTTATGAAGCAATTATAAATATTTTGTTTTGGTGAAATATATAGTTATGATTCTACTCAACATCTTATTATTGTCAATGTAAAACAATCTGTTCATCCAGCATTTTAAAGATTAAATAATAATACGTTTGGATCACTCAGTAATAAATACCACCACCGGTTATTTGATTAGTAACATCTGAAATTAAATTTCACCAAAATTATTTAAAAAAAAAATATTCCTAATCCTCTTGAAAAGAACCTAAGCAGGCAATCTTACTGTTGTTCAGTGAGTTTGAGGAAACAGATAGAAGAGGAACCTTCTGATGATTTGATATCACTTGCGTAGTTCCTACCAACAAATTTTGCCCCAAGTCACTCATACCTGTTACCTAAAGTAGACAGAAAAATGAGATTTTAAGATCCTACTAGAAATATTAAATAATATATTCAAACTGTAACTTACCTTTCAGCTACACATTCTTAATTTTCTACCCATCTCACCCATTTATCTTTCTCTATCCATCCCACCAATCTACATAATTCCTTTAAGTCAACAATAAAAATAATTTTTCCCATCAAGAACAATTGTGTTAGAAAAGTAAAGCAAAAGAACCGGTTTGGAATATTTTTCTCATATAAACTTAAGCTAATGATGGATAATACAAGCTAAATGGTAATATTCTAATGAAAATTACACAGTGTTTAGTCATTTAATAACTAAAGATAGATTTTCTCTACAGTTTTCCTTGTTGTTACTACACTGTTAACTCAGACGAATGTTGATTAGACTGCTCAATGTTTATACATTTTTGTCTAAATTTGATTATTCATAAACAAAATTCAACAGTTACTAAACATTCCTAGTTTTGAAAACTTAAAAACACAAAAATATATCTATTTCTAAGCCAGAAGTTCAAAATATGCTTATAATTCTGAGTCGGAAAAGACTGACGGAAGTTTGTCTTCACATTGATGTTACTGAGTACCAATTGGTGATGTAGGTTTAGTTCTCCTAATCATTTTGTTAATACTTTAAATTAAAATACAGATATACATTTACACGGTTTAAAAAACAACAACATTCCTTCAATATTTATTACATACACATTATATTGTACATATTACAACTGTTGGACAAATATATTTATACATAATTAAAGTGCATTATTATTATTATCATTCAAATTACATAGTGTTTCTTTTGGGAGGTTTCTGACAAACATTTGTAGAGAAAATACTTTATCCTTAAAAAACAAGATGAAATCCTCAATAGCCACGGCAGGATTACAGTATATTAAACTATGAGACCTTTTCCATTTTATTAGCTATATTTTTGTGCACCAGCATTACCAAATGTGTGGCATATGTATACCTGATTTGATTTTATTACTCATCAGGATCTCTAGCAACCTACCATCAAATCTAAGTTCTTTTAGGCAGGATTAGAGTAAATTAGTCTTTGAGACTTTGGGTGTGGTCAAATATATCAATCAAAAGGTTTTGACCTACTGAGTCCAAAACTGTAATTAGATCTCAAATCGGTTCAGAGATGTCAGAGCTATGAGCTGCATGTTTGTATTTGAAAAAACAACAACAACAAAATCAAAGCCATTCTGTGAGCAACTATGCTGTTCTCCAAGCCATTATACCACATCTAAAAATTAACATGAAAATAATCTTACACTCAAACTAACTAAAGTACATTCAGAGACATATCTTTAGTAGAAACATTTTGTTGAAAATTCTGACTTTTCATGTACGACATACTTGTAATGTTTATAAAAGCTTACCAAAATTTGTGGAGATATATTAAGTAAATTCAGAATTATAGAATTTACAGTACACACAAGTTCTCCAGTTCATGTAGAGTTAAGATGTTACATCCATCTGCAATACATAATTATGAACCTAATTTTTTAAATAATGTTTAGACTATTATTTTTGTATCCATTCATTGGTTAACAAAAATATGTACTGTATTGGATACAATAATCACTCTTTTTATAACACCTCAAAAACACTGTCATATTCTCAAGCTTTAAATGTTTCAATAACTGTTTACATAAATGTTTAAATGTATACAAAAGTTTTTATTAAAAAACATTAACAACTGACAGTGATATTTCCTTTGAAATTTAGAAAATTTACCACAAAAGACTCATATAATGTAATCAGTACATATTTAAGGGTTATTTTAAAATAGCTACAACTAAAACAAACACATTTTATGGATATGTAAAAACACTATGCTTACTGTTGCCAGAGTCAGAGGAGACAGCACAAAAGTCTGTGGTCCTGTGGCCCCTCCAGCTGCACCTGTTCCAATGATTGTAACTGGTAAGGGGGCTGGATTTTGATGGGAAAATGCTGGAGTAACAGCTGTAGGTAATGTTGATGTTGTATCTAGTTTCTTTGCTGTTGTTTCTGTAAAAACAACAACAACAAAAAACACTTTTGTGACAGGTTTTCTACAGATCTACTAACAGCAATGTTCAGATCAGTATCCAAGTAACTTTAAAGTACCATTAATTTACGGTATAAAGTACATTACTTTACAGTTCTCTCAGTACAAGTTTAGGTTCCTCTATAATTCATAAATTAGTCAGAAAATAATAACAGAATAAATCAATTCAGGTCCTTCTGATATTACAATATCAATACAAATAAACACATAATACAATGAAAGGAAAAACTCCTGTTGTAACTAATAGGAAACTCGATAAATCGGATAAACAGAGTAAAATTTAATGAAAATACATTTCACCAGGTTAACCTGGCATCATCAGGTACATCAACTACAATAAATGAACTGAAACTACAAATATATATATATATAATACAGCACCAGGGTACATTAAATTTGATTGGATAAATTTAACAGTAAGGTATGATATTTCTGGAGGGTGTTTATTGATAGGGCTTGACTTCTTGAGGGTCAATGTCCATAATCAACAAAATAGAAAAATATAAGTACTCTTTCAAAAATTTAAAATATTATAACAACAAAATTTATAAATTAAATACTGTAACTTGAAAATTGTAAATAGAGGTAAAGTGATTCACACAAAATAATATAAAAAACTTTTGGAACATCAACATAGTTAAGTTAAAGTTAGAATAGATACAATTGTGTGCCAGAATAGTTATTAATTTTAGGCATAAACTGCTTTATAAGCAATGCTTCCTTTATTTTATGACAGTTTATATTTATATATTAGTTTTAATGTTATAATATTACAAACTAGAACAGTTAAATGATTATATTAACAGATTTTTTCTCTTTTCACCAAAGATAAAATTGAAAATATAATAATTAACAGGTGGTCAGTTGTAATAATATCCAATAATAAATTAAGTGCAATGCTTTAATATTATTCACACACCTAAGTTAATTAAGGTTATTATACGGTGAGTTAAACAGGACTCAAAAATCCCATAAATATAGAATAGTTAAAGTTGATTTCTAGAGCTTTAAAGAACCTGTTAACACCACAAAAAAGGTTAGATGACATCTCAGGTTATTCAATAATCTTACAGCAATTATAATTCAACATGCTAACTTTTCATACTACGTAACCATATTTAAATTTCAGCATAATTATCATAAACAAACATGAAACATGTACATGGTTTTCACAAAATGGGGTACATAGAATCACAATCATGAAGACTCCCAAACCTCAGTTCAGATTATTCCTGGCACAAAGAACTTCCTGTTAGACGGTCGAAAGCAAAAGTCCACACACAATAGGTTAACTTGAATATATTGATACTGAGACTCCTGTAGCTGGTATAGGAGCTCATATCAAATATGTGATAACAAAAGAATAAATCCTAGAATATGGTTAGCTATTTGTCTTAGAGATCATTATAAATATTGTAATAACATCTGTATTATTTTTCAAAAAATGGATATCTCTTTAGCAGATATCCTGTATCGAATATGACATAAACAGAATAAAACAGATTACCAAACTAATGGTTAAACCATGATGATTACTGAGAAGTGCTTAAGATATCCTAACAAAATTAGATAGTTTTTTTATAGCTTTTTTACTCAAGCATTTTAGAAATAATAAGCCTTAGGTATTTTGTTTTCTGTTATTTTTAGCAGAAGAATAATGGAACAGATCTCTTTAAAACAATGAAAAATCAAAATCATCACTTACATTCTTTATAAATACTTAATTTTTAATTTTGCTTTAGTAAGCCAGTTCAAACCATTCTGCAAACATTTGCATTTACAACGCTATTCAAAGAAAGACAAAAAAAAAAGAAGAAGAAGCCTAGAAACAATAATACAGAATGCTAAGAATTTTGGGGTATTAGTCTTTTGGTTTTGAAGAAAGAATTAGTTCCATGGTATCAAATTCTGCCAAGCATTTTTAGCCATGGCATAGCGGCTCACAGAATGGCTCAGAGTATTTTTTTCAAGTACAAACTTTTAGCTCATAGCTCTTGACTGATATGAGATCTAATTACAGCCAAGCTAATGAGGATTCCCTCTTGTTTCTTTTGTTTTTAAAGAACAGAGCAAAATTAAAAGACGTACGTAGAAATCATATTTTTGGATAATGCTGTTTGTTGTTTATATTTATATATGATTGTGTTAACAATACAAGGGTTTATTTTACATTATGCACGTGTTGAAAGTCCAAATACGAAATATGACACACCAGTGGTTTAATATCAGTCCACTGCTAACATCCATCTATTAAGACCAGTATTTTCCATTAACATTTGTTTTTGGCGAGTTCTACAAGATTATATTTATAGGAAAGTTCATTCATTTAATGCTGTATCTTACTACAAATGAACTAATACCTACTATCTTAATTTCCCACCAAGATTTTCTGCTTATAATCCACAAGAATTAAAGAGGACAAAACTCAGTATGATTTACACATACTACCATAGAATAAAATACCCATGCTCTTTTGCAAGATTCAAATACCTTGTCATTCACAAAGGCCCTAATTTACCGATCAAACTTCTCAATTGCCTACAGTTACTTCTATAGCTTCTAAGGAAGGGGGGTACGAACACAGTTTCACACATGGTGCCCCTATGATCCAGAGGGAGGCCAAGAAAATCTTGTTTGAGATTCAGGTTTAGCTACCCTGAAAAGCAACTCCTAGAAACTCCATCATTCATGGTAGGAGAAGGTAACACTATACTGATAACAACACCCCGAACAATACCTCAAATATGTATACCAAGTTTGGTTCCTCCAGCTACACATCTGTCAACAAAATTCACATACACATACAACATGAATTAATGTAGAATATAGAGTTTAGCACACATTCTAAGCAATCACTCTAACACTTCTAATATTTCATATTTATGCAAAAAAATCTTAGGCAAATATAGAACTTGTAAAATTTGTATTATTTACCAAACTAAACATTCAAAATGTGAGAACAACACTAATCAAAATTATAGTAGCACTCGTACAACTCATTACATAGAAACAGAACCAAAACATATATATCAAAATATTCAACTGAATAAACTGTTTAAATAACATAATCTACACTTACGTGAGGTGAGCAGTTGTGCTAACACATTATGTGGTAGTGCTGTTGTGCTTGTAACAGCAGGAAGGAGCTTCCTATTGGATGTCGTGTCCGGTAATCTCTTGCGAGATATTGTACTGAGACTGGGAGGTGGGCTGATGTTGATGTTTGTGAGGGAAGTTGCATGCGTGGATAACTGAGGAAATAGCCTAGGGCTTCCAGTCTGAGGTGATGATATGCTGCGAGATCGCTCAGATCGTTGAAGCTACACATTTATATATCAACAATAAAATTTACATGTATGCCTTGTCAATGTTTATATAAAATTCACTAAAATGAGGTTTTGAATTAGTCAATTAAAGTTAAATACCAAGAAGTTTACTCATTTTAGAGTCACAAATATGCAGATCAGTAGAATATCTTATGCTGTTAATAATAATACCTGTATTTATTTAAGTCCTAGAGGATAAATTTCCTGGCTTATTACCTCTGTCGAAACAAATAAATTATTTATATTTTCTTACATCTACACAACATACACCATGACTTCTTTGTGAAAAAAAAAAGTGATTGTTACATTAACCTTTGAAAATACCTTCCTCCACGATGGTATCATAAGTTATATAGCTCAAAAACACTAAACAAGAGTTTGTCTGCAGATTGTTATGGACTGCTGCCACCTTTTGGTTTCCTGAATGATGTTTTGGACTTCTTGTTTACACTATTCTCTGAGAAACAAGAGCTCAGAGAGAGAGATGAAAGGAAAGTCACAGTAACGATTCTTATTGTTATATTCTGTGGTTGAAGGTTTGGTATAATAATCAGTTGATGACATAATTTCTCATGTTCCTGATTTTTTGTTACTTCAAATAATTGTAAGGCTAAAGCATTCAACAAGAAACTTACATTAAGCCTTTTCTTAAATAATGCTCTTCAAATGACCATTGAAGCACTAACATATGGTGATATTTTAAAACATAATATTAAGAGTTTGTGTACGTGGAAGATGACATTATACAAAATGTAGCACAAATGTATGCATATATATAAAACTTTATCATAATAAAACTTTAATAAAACCAATTATAACTAGTAGTAAAATACTTAATATCTCTCTGCCAAAATGTGACTTGTAAACCTAAATTTTCTCAAGAGTTTATATCAAAACTAAAGCAGTATTTGAGAACTCTATCTTAAGTCTTGCCCAGTAACATCCCGAAGAAGCCTCAAGTGAAACTCAGAACTTGCAGCATTTGGTGGCTGACTAGTTAAGCAGCTTACATTAGTTTGCATTCCTAATTTTGTTTTCCTTCAGAAAATTACAAAGTTTTCTAAAATGAATATATTTAACAATTAAAATCTGAGAATTTTAACCATGAAATACTTACAGGTGATCTAGGAATTGCAAATTTGTTTCCTGGCTGAATTGAAGTCAGGTTTACAGACTGTCCAGTGTCAGGGTGAAGTGCTTTGTCCCACAAAATGCGAGTTCCAGTAAAGGAGTGCCTTCGTTGAAAAACTCCACTGTCTTGACTAACCCGAGTTGTTCCGTTCGATATTCTACCTTCTTCCTCAACCTTTACTATTATGTTCTTTGGTTTAATCTTTGTAGCTTTATTGAGCACAGCATCAACTTGGTTCTGGGTATTAATGCTCTGACTTGGAGAATGAGTATGCTCCACTAACTGAGCAGAGGGAGAATATCTACAAGTACCACTGGATGAACAAGAGGTAAAGTTTAGAGGTGGAACTGTTTGTTGTCCTATGGAAGGGCTCAGAAATGGCCTAGGGAAGCCACTAGTGGTATGAGCTTGAGCCAAGGAAGGCACTTTAGTTGATGATGACTGTAAAGTCAGTGGTGTTGACATGATTGATGGTGATACACTGAAAAGGTCTCCACAATGCTTTGAATCAATGAAGGCAGAAAGTGATGAGGAACTAATACTAGATTTTGCTTTAGCACCAAAAGTTTTCTCACTGACCGTTTGGTTATCTTGTTGTGCAGTTTCTGGAGAGTCCATCAATACATCTCTTTCAGCCGATGTACTAGAGATCAGTTGAGGTTCGTGTGACATCAAGAAAGAGTCCAACATCACAGACTGAGAAGAAGCTACTGGCTGTTTTGATGGAAGAAATCTTTTTTCTGATGAAAAGAGGGGCAGATCTTGGGGGAAACACACAGAGCTTGCAGCACTGCTGGGGCCATAAGTACTTTGTTCATTACAAGAGGACACCGAAGTCTCTGGACGACAACCCTGAAGATTTTGAGATTGAAATGTTTAACAAAAGCTTAAGTCCAATTTTTCTTTGGTTCTAAACATATAAATATATTTTGTTGTTTTTTTTGTTAACTTTATACTGCATAAAACAGAATATGTCATCAGTTAACCTTAAAAAAAAATCTTATTATGTATATTCTAACCTCATATCTTTTTCTGTATAGACACTCTCGCATGTATAGTTCCTCATGATGCTAAACTAAAAAACATCATACCTGTTCCGTCCCTACCGAGGTCGTGGTCGTTTCTTGTGAGTGTACCTGCTCTGACACTTCCTCTGGTAGAGGGGGTAATCTGAACATCAGAAAATCTGCAAACAGAAATATAATTTAATACAAGTGTAATTTCTCAGCTTGGTTGAAACTAATAGATCAGTATATGTATGAACAATCAAATGTGTTCTTCCTGTGATGTTTACACCTATTTTTATTAAATCTAAACTGTTAAATCAAGAACGTTTTTCATTTTCAGGTCTTCATTTGATAATTTAACCATACTAGTTTTTAATAAAAATTGTTATACTTTTGTGAAAATATTACTGTGAGCTTAATTATCTTTAACACTAAATTCACAGAAACTCAAAAGTGTACATTACACCAGCTTAACAGATATACAAAGACAGGTTTATTAAGATCCTACCTGATAAAGGTTCAAATGTGTCCATATAAATGTCATCAAGGGATGGCTGAAGTTGGATAAGCCCTGGTTGAATGAAATCAGCATTACCAGCTTTGGCAGCTGAAGAAAAAAAAAAATTAAAATCTTATGTTGGCATCATAAAATATCTTTAATCTCTTGCTAATGAACTAACACCACAACAAGTATATACACTAATAAATTTAAAAAGGAAAACAGTTATTTCAAATGTTTAGTTTATGATTGATTTTATGAACCAGTAGTAATTCTTAGCTGTAAGCTACAATTGTTAGTGTGTATTAATAATATTACACTTATACATATTTAAGCAAGTGGTTAAAATCTTTACTCAAGTGGAAAGATACAAAAGATGAACGTTGGGGCAGACATTTAGATTTCATTTTGCTTCAGTTTCAAAGACCTAACTGCTTTGGAAGTTTTTTTTCTCACTATTTTAGTAGCAGATTAGCTCTTGAAGGAGTTTTGGCTATCAGGGCCAGATTAGGGCCTATAGATTGATCCAACCCTTTTGGCTATATCACACCTAAAAAAAAGTGTTTCGTTTACCTACATATGCAGATACAACTATGGACTTCTGTAGGTAAAGTTACTTTTTAACTAGCTTCTCATCATATCATGCAAATATTTGTTATTGTTAGAAATAAAGAATTTTATTGAAAAAAAATTAAAATTGAATATAAGTATCTCATAATTATTCATAAAAGTAAAAACTATACTGAATTAAATGCAATACGTAGTATAGTTTTATATAAGAAAAATAAAGTGACTCGTATATCATCACAAACTGAAGCCTAATTATTTTCCCAATAAATTTGTAAAGAGCTGTACAGTTAAAACTTAAGTAACTTAAGGCAGGAAATTACAGCTTTAAAATGAAACTATCATTTACCACAAGTTGTATTTAAACATTACCAATTTCACGAGGATTGGGGAAATCAAAAGGCTGATTGGGAATGAGACTGCTGAACAAAGTGTCACTGAAAGTATCCATCAGAAATTCATCATCCATCACAGAGCTCATACACGCACTTCCATCCCAAGCTCGAGATGGCCACCTGACATCAAGATCCATAGCCTCCATTGCTGCCTGAAAGAGAAGTCACTATTATTTTTACAACAAGGGAATAAATACAATGCTAACATGGTTATTCTACAAATAATTTGAGTTAGTCTAATATACGAGATAAGGGTTAAACTGAAATTAAACATTTTATACACAATTAATAAATATCTTAAACTATAATACTATAACAACATAAGAACAGTTAGGGCTAACAATCACCACCAAAAATATCTTCAAAAACAGTGCATGCCTCTGAAATGGAATATGTCTAATTAAATCAACTTTAAACACTCTGATAAAAGAACAGCTCTTGATGACAAAGTTCCTAGTTTTGTCTTTAAAACTATCAAATAAAAAAAACACAATTAGATGGATAAAACAACTCACTCAAGCCAACATGATACATTTTGCAGCTTTATGAGATATTATATTATTCTGTTGGAATTATTTTCATGATGTCTTAATAATTATCACCATACATTATAAAATTTCTAGTCTATTTATAAAAGGTGGATAATAACATGGTTTGGATTAGTTTTCAGCCAAGGAGTCATAAATGTTATCAGACGCTGTCACCGTCCCATGGGTAAATACAGAGGCAGCTAATCATCACCATCCACCGCCAACTCTTGGGGCTACTCTTTTACCAACGAATCATGGGATTGACCATCACATTATAATGCCCCCATGGCTGAAAGGGCGAGTATGTTTGGTGTGACTGGGATTCGAACCTGCGACCCGCAGATTGCGAGTCGAGCGCCCTAACCACCTGTCCATGCCAGGCCATTTTTGAAGTATTTCTGATGCAATTAACATTGAAAATATATTGTGTTTAACACATATAGGACTGCACACTTTAGTGACTCCCACATCTTGTAAGTAATAAATAATATCTATCACCACATTTGTGCAAGTAAGGTGACAGTTATGACATATTCTAAAATTACCTGTAGTAAACTTAAAATAAGGTACAATGAATCAGAGGAGCTCTTGGTTAAAAGATATATAAATTGTTGGTTTTTGATGAAGAATAACCTCAACTGATTCTGGTGTCTACTTAAGATACGATACAAAGTTGAGATCAGTTACCAATTTCAAGTATTTACTTCTAATAATTCACTTTGTATGTAAAGATTTGTTTTCAGAAATTGTCTTAAAAACAAAAGTTACTTGAATGAAGTGCACCAGAAGTATCTGTACATAAGAAGGCTATAACAGTCATTCCGAGAACAATTACATGTAAAAAAGTTAAAGATCAGTCTAAATGATACAGTAACCACTGTAGCCATGAAACATCATAATTATTCTGCTAAAGGTTGACTTTCAATGTGACAATTAGGGTTGTATTCAGCAACTGTACATAAATAAGCAAACACAAAATATTTAAACATTCAAATAACTTCAGTTATGTTGATTAAGTACTGTATCAAAAAACAAATATTCAAAGGGGAAAAAAGTATCAATTTATCTTCAATTTTAACATCTGATGAAATCTGAAGTTATGTTTTTGTTTACAAACTGCAGGTCAATAGCACAAATTGGCTAGCAATAACAAGAATTTTTTTTGTTAAAAACTGATTAAATACTACACTTTGATTAAAAAAAATGGTATGTATTTCACATCTATTTATATTGAAATATTCACTACAATTATAAACATTTTGCATTAGGCTTAATGTTATAATGATTTTACACATGACTGAAATTGCAAACATAGCTCTTTATGTAAAATGTCTTTAAAGTCTAAGAATCTACCGTACTTGTGATCTACTTTACCATTTTCTTCGAATACACTGAAAACAGTAGTCTAAAAATCATGACTATTCTTTTAGCACTGAAAATTAAAATAATGAGTATATGTATACAGGTATACAACTTTAGTGTTTGTACATACAAAGGCTCAGCTTACATACTGTAATGAAGTTATAACCATTACTAGGTAGAAACACAAATGATGATGATTTTAAACTTTTAATACAGATCGGCGAAATTAGAATAATCTAAAAAAAGTAAAATAAACCTATAAATCAGTCCTAGTGAATACTTTATCGATGGAATAATATAAATTACTGAAACAAATGAGTAACTTTTAAGCTACTGTTTGCTAGATGATCATTTATCAATAAACTGTTAGTCTGTCAATTAGATAATCAAAAATGCATCTATTTCAGCCGCAATGTCTATTCAGAAGAAAATCATTTTTTCTCATTTATCAAAACAAAATGCTAAAAAAGCAGCAGTATATGCTGGAATTATAAGGAGTTATGGATTTTAATAAACAATATTGTAAGATTTTGACTGAAATAAAATTAAAATGTAATGTGTAATGACTTCATATTCATTATAATAGGTTTATGAACTTATAAGCAGTATACTAAAACCAAACGATAGTAATAAACAACAATAAAACTGATTAAAATTGTTAAATACATCGAATACTTCACAATAATCCTACAGACTAAATACTTCATCTTCCTCAGAGAATTTAATGAATTATTTTGTTTGTTGACTAGGTATCTGCCAGTAAATTAAAATGATTAAGCTTTGATGCTAAATGTTTTCCAACTGCATATGCAGCAATGGTATAACTAGGCATCATTTCAAGTAAGCAATAGAACACTTTTAACAGTCTTAAACATGTCATCACATACAGTTTTTGGACTGTTCTTAATACAAAAATTGTCCAGAGAATAGGAATTTGAGACTGATTTTTGAGAGTTGGACACATAAAAAGGAAACGTGTATTTAAAGATATAAAATTTTGTAATAACTTTCAAATTTGAAAAAAAAAGTTTGGCTAATCATTTCTGTAACAAATTATCCAAATTGTGTGTAATTTTCAAACCCAGCTTAAATTTTAAATGAGATATAATATGTTTTATTTCTTTATACCATATGTTTTTTTATGGTATTTAAACATTATTCAAATAAATTGGAAAAAAAACAAATGGTTTTATACATTCTGTTTAGTTCACATTTATATTTTACACAAGTGCAATCGAAAAAAAGACAAACACCAAAAAAACATTTTATGAATGTTTAGTGTTCTTCACTTACAATATTTCACGATGTAATGGTCTATAATTTATCAGTTACATTTACTTTTTCTTCAATATCTAAGTTAAAGGTATTCATATTACCATACTTTCTAGTTTTAATGTTATTACTAAGTCATTTAAAACATGTTTAGTTTAATTCTAACAAGCATATTGAATCATTGAACTTTTCAATCAAAATTGTACGGTGGAATCTTAACAATCAAAACCTAAAATTTTACCTCTTTCTTTTCAGATGTGATTGAAAATTGTCAAATGCAGAATCTTATTTCAACTTCTGATTATTGTATTAATCACACAGAACAAAAATAATAACTTGAAGATAGCTTTTATATGCAGATACATCTGTTAGCTGAGTTCTTGCAGAGATCTTAAAATATAACGTTGATAAACTGAAACATCGGCACATGTAGATGTGTAGATCTTGAAAGTTGAGTTGTTCAAAACTTGAAAATAGCGTTGATAACTGGACCAATTGTTGGTTGAGATGTTGAAAAGGAAACATCTGCTGAAGCTTTTCGCCAGACACTAATCATAGCAGAACAGTCTGGAAAATCATTTATAGGAAATAGTACAGCTTATAAAATGAGTCAGATCAATGTAGGCCAGTAAAGGCAATTACTGATTGGCATGTCGTTAAGCCAATCAGGAAATATTACAGGCCTATTGAAGGATGTGTAGATTGTATAGGAATTCTTTTTGGCGGCAAAGGAAAGGTTTATGTGTTTTAATAAAGGTGGCTTCCAAAATATAGAGATGAAAGGTTGACAGACCATTTGCAATAATTTTAAACCTGCTATCTGTGTAGTTGTCAGCACAAGTCGGGTTCACTAGTAAATGCTGGCCAATCGCCAATTCACATTTTGGTGACAGAACTTTTGTTTTACAGGAGCGACCTGGTAAATTCTTTTCTTTCACACTCTTATTTCTTATGGATGTGGGTACATGTTGTTTAATTCTATCCTGCAATCTTTGTGAAGTGTGACCTACGACATTCGCAGTGGCACGAGAATTCATAAATAACCGTACTTTTCTGCGTGGTAGGTATCGCAT